GTTCAGGCTCATCCAGCTGATCTCTGACCAGTGCTCAGTGCTTCGTACCGAGGTGCTTCCATGCTGGTCGCTGATCCAGGATCAGCAGGGAGCGAGGGAAGGATTGCGGGGGGCAGGTCTGATCCAGCGCTATGTCTTCTGCGCCCCCTCTTACTGTGGGTATCCCTGATTGTTGCTGAGGTCTATAAGCCTACAGTTACCCCAGCGTTAAGCATGACAGCTCAGTAAATACAGAGCTGAGGAGGTCTGGCACTGACTCCCTCTGCTACGTTCCTGCAGGAGATGACACGCTGGGTTTCCTCTCTGTCTGGATTGTTTTTTTATTACTGTGTGGGGACTGTGTACACTAGGCTACGCCACTCAGGTTCGCAGGTTAACCCTTTGTCCTCTGATTCATGTTCTCAGATGGCTGCCTATTTCGGTCACTCCGTGGCGGCGACCGACATCAATAAGAATGGGTAAGCAGTTAGGTGCGCACCGCAGTGTGAAGTGAAACCCACCCACACGTGTAAACCAGAAAAAGAGAACTGGTCTGTTTTTATCAGTGACAAATACGCTTCTTTCACAGCAGATAAATCCCAGCTTTAGAGAGAGCAGTCTGCTTCTAAAGTCATTATGATCTCTCAAGGGCATCTATCAATAGATATCAGCTCCTCTGAACACCAAGATTTTGTGTGTGTGTGCGTGTGGGGATGTGTGGTTGTGTGTGGGGTGTGTGTGTGTGTGTGTGTGTGTGTGTGTGTGTGTGTGTGTGAGAGTGAGTTTTGCACTGCTCTGCTCCACTTCGTAACTGGATGGAATGCGTGATCTCTGGAAAGCCAAGATAGTGCTGCTTGAGTGAAAGTGTAAGAGGATATCTCACTGCAGCATCATAACCTTCCTCTTACCCTCTGACTCCTCCCTGCCCCTTCACGCACCACCTCCTACCACTCTTCTCCCACGGCCCTCTCTCTGCCCCCTCCTCCAGGATTGTAGATCTGTTTGTGGGCGCGCCCCTCTTCATGGACCGTGAATCGAACGGCAAACTGCGGGAGGTGGGCCAGGTGTACGTCTACCTGGGGAAGGGGGGCTTCACTTTCGACGACCCCCTGAAGCTGACGGGCTCGGATATCTACTCGCGTTTTGGCAGCTCCATTGCCCCTCTGGGAGACCTGGACATGGATGGCTTCAACGGTACGGGGGGTCGCCGTGGCAACAGGCTTTCAGAACAGAGCTCAGTCATGCTGTCTGAGCAGATCCCTGATAAGTCAGGAACAGTGACACAGTCATGACTAAAGGCAGAGAGAACAGGGAGGGAAAAGCCCCATCTCACACCTGCTGCCAGGGCAAATCAGAGCAAAGCCAGGAAGGAAACACATCTCTCCCGCGCTGCGGTCAGCACAAGACTGTCGAGGCTTGTCCACTTGCTGTGCAGTGCTGTGCTCTCAGGGTTTAAAGCTGGGATCTTACTTCATCTGGATGTACCATGAATCCGCCTGGCTGGAAGTGTCCCAAACCTAATAAACTTTTAATGTCCACCAAAAAACAGCAACTCTGCTGATTCCTCCTGAAAACGATCGGGGCTTGTAACCAAAAGGTCACTGGTTCAGTTCCCCGCTAGGGCATTGCTGTACCCTTGGGCAAGGTGCTTAAACCCGGAATTGCCTCAGTAAATGTCCAGCTGCATTTATGGATAAAGTTGTAAGTTGCTGTGGATATGAGCATCTGCTAAGTGACATGTAATGTAATGTAAACTTACTTACGGTTAATTGGTTACTGTGGAGTTACTTTCTTACTACATGTTCTTATTGGCAGTGGGGGAGGATGTTGTAGACTTCTAAGGGCAGTCACTTCTTTTTTCAGACATCGCCATCGCTGCCCCGTACGGTGGCCCAGACCACAAGGGCCTGGTGTACATCTACAACGGGAGGCCCGGTGGGCCCGACCCGGCGCCATCCCAGGTTCTGGAGGGGAAGTGGGCCTCCACCTCCATGCCCCCCAGCTTCGGCTACTCCATGCACGGGGCCACCGACATCGACCTCAACGGCTACCCAGGTAGGAAGCTCCTCCGCTTCCTGCCAGGCTGAAGCGGGGATTGCAGCATGGTCACACTGAAGGAGGTGCAACGCCTTGACCTGTCCCAAAAGCAAAGCACTGAGAAGAGAACTGTTGCCGCTGTTGTCATTTTTTTAATGAGTGATTAAATTCCATTTGAATTTGAAGTGGATGAGATGGGTTATTCTGACGGTGGATGTGCTGCCCAGCTCCCCCACCCTCACGACTCCATGAAGGAAGTGACAGGAGCTTTTTCTCGTTTTTGCAGACCTGATCGTCGGCGCCTTTGGGGCGGACAAAGCCGTTCTCTACAGGTACCTGCCTCTTTGAAGTCACACGTGTGTTTGATACACTGTATTTAACCATCAGCGCTACCTTAACCATAAGCATGTGTTTTATTTGCAATTAGTGAGGCGTAAACATGAGTTTTAAGGCTGCTGGTTTGAAAGGCTGCCCAAACCGCGAGCACCCAGGAGCCGCTCGGCTAACAGAGAGCTCTGCTGTGCCTGTCACAGCTGTGAATGCATGCTACACGGTATTGACTGACTCAAAAACTCACCCATTTCTTTCCATCGCTCTATTGATTTATTGATTGTGACTGTTAAGTAGGCCGTGGTGATCTCTCCAGTCAGAACAGCTTGGTGCATCTGCTCTGCATTCCAGACGTACCTCTGAAACATGCGCTACAGCTTGTGGCCCTCCGTTATGAAGACGCAAATCAATTTGAAGAATTCGGCGCCAAATTCTTAGGGTGGAGCTGCGTGCCGATGAGGGAGAGTTTCTCCCCCTGCCGCTCTGCTCTCGTGGGAACGCGTTACACGTTGACCGTCTCTATGTCTCGGTCTGACCGCAGGGCACGCCCGGTCATCGGCGTGAACGCGACCCTGGAAATCACCCCCCAGATCCTGAACCCGGAGGACCGCAGCTGCACCCTGCCCGGGACCTCCACAACCGTGTCATGGTGAGCGGCCTTCGGGCACCAAGAACGTCACGCTCAGTGGCGTATATTTGTTGGCTCATGTATTATGTGGACACTGTCCTCCAGACTGATGCACAGGGCTGCACGTCTCAGGATCTACAGGAACATTAACAGGAACAGAAAACCCAGGACTGGCTGTAGCAAACATGCATCAAGCTGGAAAAACATGGTGCTAAAGTAAAGCATGGCAGCCAAAACCCAAGTGCCTAATTGTTATGCTCAGGACCAACATGCTTGCATCTGAAGTGAACACAGAGCTTAACGATGATCTATTTAAGCCACGTGACCTTAAACCATGGTGTGTATATCTGTCATCTTCAGAGGTTTATACTCAGCTACATAATTTTAATGAATTAGGATGTTCTTTCTGTAGCTTGTGCATAAAACCAGACACAGGAGCAATAACATAAGGGAGTGTATACAGAGGAGCTGTCTGCTCTGAGGATCTCCACTGCAGAAGAGCTCCAGCACGATCATGAATTCAGCTGGGACAGTGTCTTTTCCTCTTCAGACAGTCATTTGCAAACACAGCTCTCGTAAACCACAGTGTTTTCCACCAATAACCACACATACGTATAAAAAACACATTAGGCAACTGTTGTTAATTTCAGAGACGGAGGGATGGGACCGGGTCCATCCAAATCACCCTGCTTCGCACATGTTGGCACCACCAAGCCCCGTTTAATCTGAAACAGCTCCGCAGGTGCTGTCTCTTCCCTGGCCTGAGCCGAGCGGGGTTCCCCCAGCTGACAAAAAATCTATATGTGTGTTTGCCCTTGCCTGGCCAGGACAGACGAGCCCTCTCCGCTTGGGACACCCCTCTCTCTCACTCTCTTTCTCTCTCTGTCGTTTGCTCTCTCTCCCACTCTCTCTCTCTCTCTCTCTCTCTGTCTGTCTGTCTGTCTGTCTGTCTGTCTGTCTGTCTGTCTCTTCTCTTTCTCTCTCTCTCTGTGCTGAAAAATCAATATGTATGTGTGTCCCCACCCAGCCCAGACAGACGTCTCCGAGCCCTCTCCATTCGGGTTGGGACCCCCCCCCGTGACTCAGAGCCGATGTTTGCGTGACTCTGCCGCGCTGTAGAGGTGGAGGCACTGTGCCATTAGTCTCCCTGTGACAGCATCCGGAGCCGCCCTGGGTGCAGATACTGCAATAAAACAAGGGAAGGGGAAACAGAGGCATCTGCCCTCCGTTTGCAGGGCATGAGAGCCCCCATGCACCACCCAATTAGACACCTTGCGGCACAATTTGCAGGTGGTTTAAATGCGGTTTAGCGGAAAGACCGCCGGGGTGATTCGGGTTTGGCTGGTAACGTCAGCCTGTCAGTTACAATAAAGAGAACCTTGCCCGTGTGCGCAGGTCTCCACAGTGTGATGTTTGCACGAGATAAGAAATATTTTCCTCAAGATCCCAGTTACTACTACTCCTAGATGTACTTATACCAGCTCCGCAGAGGAGGTGAGCTGCTTCCAGAAGCAAGCGCATTATGAGGCTGAACAAAGTTAACCATAGTGCTGTTATGATTTATGTATAATAACCAGGTGAGTAAAATTCTGCATGACAATTTGGCATGTCTTTGATATCATGATTGCTGAAGCTTGATACAGGGCAAATTTTTCCTCTTATTTAACATCAGAGATGACTTAAGCTATTTAAAGTGAAAGAAGCAACCGGATCCTGTAGGTCTGAATCAGCTCTATCTAATCATTAACTACAAGCAACAGAGGCCATTCATATAGGACTGACTCATTTACAACAGGATAAACACAGAGCCTCATCAGACTGTGCTTTTCAGAGTGTTGACCTTGGTGCTTTATTTATGGGAACAGGCTGTGGTCACAGGGACTTTTCCAGCGTTGACCAGGTGCTTAAGAAATGAGCAGGTGTCTGGGATTTGAACTTTAGCTCCTTCACCATGTTTTTAAATAATGTCTGTATAGGTATATAATTAAATCAAGCAAGACTCGAATGTGCATCTCTGTCTACACTCGGCAGTGTAGCATAGTGGTAGGGAGCAGAGCTCGTAACCGAAAGGTTTCTGGTTCGATTCCCCACCAGGGCACTGCTGGGCAAGGTACTTTACCCAGAATTCCCTCAGTAAATATCCAGCTGTATAAATGGATAACATGTATAAGCTATGTAAGTCGCTCTGGATACGAGCATCTGTTAAATGACAATAATGTAATGTCTCTCCTGTCCCTGCAGCTTTAAAGTGAAATACTGCCTACAGGCCCGAGGAAAAGGAAGCCCTTCCTCTCTGCGTAAGTGCTGGTTGCTTTCAGCTTTGCCTTCGATGCACTTTTCAGCTTTGCGGTCGATGCACTTTTCAGCTTGCTCAATTTGGAGGAACTCACAAATGTCCTTTCTCAGAAAGACTAAACTTGGTTTTGTGTTTTTTTTTTCTTTCTTTTATTCTTTTAAAAATGGTTTAATTAGTACCATAGGAAAAAACACACTTTGTCTCATAGGGCTTCATCAGACATGGCCTAGAAAGCAAGCATGTCAATTTTTTGGTCCTCTGGTACATTTTCAACAATTCATTTAAAAGTAAAAATCTCAAGATATTAATTTTTTTTTGACGGTGGCCCCTCCCTGACAGTTTCCCTGCTGTTCCCCAAGGTCGGTTTGCACCATATTAGCGTGCTCTCTTAAAATAAACGAGTAAAAGTGTCGCATGTAAAGTGGTCTGTCACCCAGCGAATGGAGGCACCCTGTGCTGGTTTATCCAATGGCGGAGCAGAATGGCTGCGGGGGGATCCTGTGCGGGGCGAGGGAGGCATGCTGTGTGCTACGGTGGCGGTAAAAACAGAGCATCCGGCTCTTATGTGGAGCCATGTTGAGAGCATAATGGCTCCCAGACACAGGTTCAGCGCTTAAAAGACCACAGACGGAGCGTCCTATTAATTATTTGTGCAAGACGTGCTGTGAGCAGCCCTTTGAACTTTCCCTCGTGCACCTCTTACTGAGGGCTACTGCACGAGGGGCCCGGAAAGAAGGACTTGACTTCAACATTGAAAAACAGGGTGCTGGTTTGGATTGTCTGTATTTAACTGTAATGGTGCATTTAAACATGTCAAAGAATGACTTGTTTGTTTGTTTGTTTGTGTGTGTTGGGCTGTGTGTGCCTGTATTGGCTTGTCCGTTTGTTTGTGTGTTAGTGTGTGTTTCTGTGTTCTGTATGTCTGTGTGAACTCGTACTATGTCTGTTTCCCTTTGCAGCCGTGTGTGTGCGTGCGTGCGTGCGTGCGTGCGTGCGTGTGTGTGTGTTGGACTACTGGTCCCCCTCACCACCTGTTTCGCCACTGTGTATTCAGATCAGGTGTGTGTGAGCGAAGGCCTCCATAAACCAGCTGTAACATGTAACCGGCACGGTGTGCACCTTAGCCATTGGATTGACCCTAACCTGTGTTCATCTGTTATATTAAGGTGGCCTTTACAGGTAAGGCTCCTGTACTGTCAGCACTCTGGCTGTATCAAAGCCTCACATGTGTCACTCCGTTTCCCAGTCTTCCAGGTGGAGCTGGTGCTGGACAGACTCAAACACAAGGGGGCGATAAAGAGAGTGCTGTTCCTGCACAGCAAGATGTCCCAGTACTCCAAGAACATGACGGTGACCAACAGCAAAGGGCCGGCATGCGAGGAGCTGGAGGCCTTCCTGATAGTGAGTTCAAGTGACAAACGCACTGCGTCGCCATGTTATTACAGAGGATGTTCCAACCAATGAAAAGAAAAGGAGACCAGGCTCTTGAGCAGCTCAGTGGTTAAGGTGTTCACTTTGAGGGCATGCTTTATTAAATGGTGAAGTTACACGTTTTGACCATGGAGGATGACTTCAATGAGACCTCTGTGGTCCAAGCATTGTTTGATCTTGACTTTTTCCATAAAATTCTCAGTTGAGAGTGTTACAGTAGTGTGCGGGTATATTAATTTCTGTTGTGAATACAGCTGTCCCCTCTTTTTGGGTTAAAAGGCAGACAGAGAAGGTCTGCACGAAGTGAGAGGGAGGGAAAGTGGTTCAATCTGCTGAGCATTTTCTAAATCCGCTTTGTAAGGGCCGATTATGAGGAGCCGGTTATGAGGAGTATCACTCCCTGCTGTTCATCAGTTATGGTACTTGCTTACTTTTTCCAGTAAACTTAAAATGAATGTCGAGCCCTAATTAGATTAATACAGAACAGCCCTAGGGACTTTTTAAAGCATGAAAAGAGTGTTGAATACTGAAAAACATACATGACAAATGATACGTTTGTGATATCCTTAGGTTAGAACATGTATAAAGTGTTACAGAAGTAGACTTAACTCATGCTGTATTAGGAGAGTGTTTCTGGTTAAGCCAACAGCTTTTAGCTTCTTTTTCTCTGGCAACAGCAGGTGTTGTGCCTTCTTCTGACATGCTGTAATTACATCTGGTTACATAATTACATGCACCTCATTGTCGCTGATGGACCACCGCCCCTGTTATTATAGTTTGTGGTTGAGTGGATGTTTTTCTAGAGCAGGGCTTTGAGATGTGCAGATAGGCCATCTGTGAGGCTATAAACAGAGTCCTGGTCTGCGTTGAGTGGCGGTTCGGATGCCCCTCCCGTGTCTCAGCTCATGCCGTGGGGCTCTCTCCTGCAGGACGACTCGGAGTTCAGGGATAAGATCACACCCATCACCATCTTCATGGAGTACAGCCTGGACTACAAAAAGGCCGCCGACAACACCGGCCTCCTGCCCATCCTGGATCAGGTCACACCCGCCAACGTGTCCAAGCAGGTACCGGTCCCCCTCCCCCGCCCCACCAGCCCCCACCTCCCTGCCCCCCGGATTCCCCCACGATCGTCCCGGATTGTCCCAGTTCATTCTGGGTGCAGGAAAAACACAAACAGCTGTGATTTGTGCCTGAGGCTTTGTGCTAGCATGCGGTGTGGGCCCGTAGGGATGGGCGTGTCTGTCTGTCTGCAAGAGTTACAACATGATGAGCTGAGAGGAAAAGCAAGCCAGCACTGCTAGTGGGAGTTAAAGGAACACACACACACACACACACACACGGGCATGCACGCACACACACATACTCACACTCGCACCCACACACACATATACACACATTCACACACACATATACACACAGAGACAAACACACACGCACACACATGCACACACGCACACACACACACACACACACACACACAAACACACACACATACACACTCACACGCGCACATACGCACACACACATGCTACAATGCACTGCTGAATCACTGCTCCATTATGGTTATCCAGTTAAGCAAGAAGAGAGGGATTTGGTTGGTCAAGTTTACTGCATAGAATGAATCTATAGAAATCTCTCTTCAAATCAAGTGGAATTAGTGATATTTAAAAGCAGGAGACTACAGCATGAATGGTGACAGCTAGAAGGAATAATCCACAAAACAAGCAAACATGCACTACATGCAAAAAGCGTGCAAACAATTCAAACAGCGTTTGTGTGACAGCACAAGGTGAATATGAGTTGTGGGCAACACCTGAAAGACTGGGCGTAAAGGCTGTGTCGGGTTTCTTGGCAGGCGCACATCTTGCTGGACTGTGGGGATGACAACATCTGCAAGCCCGACCTGAGGCTGTCGGTAGTGAGGTGAGTGGTACGCTCCTCAGAACTCACACTTCTCCCCCACCGTTGCAGTCCATTGGTACGGTCCAGTTGGTGGAGGCTCGGACTGTGACCTCTCCTTCTCTCTGTCACCCTTACACCAGCGACCAGAGGCAGATCTACATCGGCGACGACAACCCGCTGACGCTCGAGGTGACGGCGGAGAACAACGGGGAGGGCGCGTACGAGGCGGAGCTCTACGTCACTCTGCCCCCGCAGGCGGACTTCATCGGGGTGGTGCGCAACAGTGAGGTGAGAACCCCCCCCCACACATACAAACATGGTACAGTCCTTCCTATGGGCCAATCAGCTCTCAACACTGCAGCTTTCTTTGGAAAGAGTATTGAAGTAAAAACCTTCCACTGTCATTCTGTTCATGAAGAAAGCACATTTTTAATCTGTATCTAAATCCTCCTAAGCAGGAAGTGGCTGCTTTGGATCTACCTGAACAAAATGCTTGGTTGTTCTTTTCGAACAGAATAATCCTAAGATTAGAGATGCAGTTGCAGTGTGGCTCTGCAGTCTGGCGGTCGGAATAAATTGGGTGGTTTGGAAAATGCTGCCAAATTTCTTGGAAAGTTTTACCTGGTGATTAGGAAACTACTTAAGTCATGATGTTCAGATGATTTACTGACTGTAACTATAGACCTCAGAACACCCAGGCACATACTGCTAAATTAACATCATATATATGTATAATATAACCAATGGAGGTGTGATTTACTAAGACACATTATTGTGTTACTTGCTGTTTTTAATCAAGTTAAGCGAGCTTGAAACCATGGAATGCATCCAAAGATGAAAAAACAGGCGTTGTTCAATTGCCATAACTACATTTGTGCATCGCCTATCAGTGCCTTTTCACCATCTAGTGGTACAATACAGGTACTGTCATTATTTGGGGGAGCCAGTCGGTCAGTCTATCAGTGAGTGTGAGGTACTGTGTTGCAGCTCTGGGATATTTAAGTGGTATAATGGACTTCAGGAGAAGAAACCATGGCTTAGTCTGCATAATTTGGCATTTTTGCTATGAAAGGCTATGGCAAAATATTACATTTCTCAGTAGTTTAAGTACTACTACTTTAAGAAGTATTTCTGTCTGATAATGAAAACCACTATGATACACTATTAACACTTGGATCCCTATCAGAGGGTGACATTGTTAAACTATGCAAAATGACAGCAGCAAACCTTGTGATGCTTACACATCGACCTTGGTAAGTACATTCTTATTGTTGTTTTTAAGCATGTTCTCTCTGGGGGTGGGAATTGCAGTTCAGAAATTCTGGAAATTCTGTGGTATTTTCAGCGTAGCATTTGCCCGAAATCAACCATGCAGATTCATGACTTGCGGGGACATGCCTGAGGTATTCTTGTTTTGTGAATCACTGTCTTAGCAGTAGTATTTAGCCTGTTGCCATAATGCCGGATGAATT